TAATTTCCTTAGCTGAGGGCCTGTTCTGTAACAAAATTCACCCAGATGCATCACCTTGGATAAGGATAATTTCCTTAGCTGAGGGCCTGTTCTGTAACAAAATTCAGCTTGTGCCTCTTGTGTACTGTTGTGACTGGGAAGGTTGGAAGAGCAAAGAGGAGCTTGCTCTTCTTTTTTTTTTTTTTTTGTTCTGGCCCTTATGCTTTTGAATCTGTATGGGATAGGCTCATATGGACTTTAGATAATGCTTAAAAAATGCTGCTGCTGTAAACAAAATGACACTACTTAATTTGTGTACACTGAAATAACAAACCTCTGACAACAGAATTGCCATTATTAGTGTAGCAGTGTTTTTCCTTGTAAAAGCAACAGATCACATGTGCTTTTTTCCTGTGAAATGTTTTATTTTTAGGTGTTAACATATGCAGTTTTTTTCCATGCCTTTTCAAAAATTTTGTACCAATACCTCAGCAAATATTTCTGAAAATCTCATTGTGCAATATTGTCAATTATAGTGTTGGTGTTTTTTCTCTATAATTTTTCCATCCTTTGTGTTCCTAAGATTTTTTTCACAATTTTTTTTTTCTTTTTTAATGTGCCAGTTTTATTTATAATTAATACTAAAACTACCATTTAAGCTGACAAAGATGGTTTCTAGGATAGATCGGCAGGCAAGCTAAATTATTCCTGTTTCATTTCTACCAAAGGAAAGTGTGTATTTATTTATGTTGAAATGTATATTATTTTAATGCTTATTGTCTTATCTTGCTTAAATAATTTTATCATATTTCACATGTATTTTAATTTAGATTTTTTTTGTTTTAAAGGAAGGCCTTCTATTAAAATAATGCAGTTTTGTACTGTTACTACAGACTAAACACGACTCCACGTGGTGATACCTTCTGGCCTGAGTTTTTAAGATTGTGTGTAATGGTTAGTTTGTAGCTTAGTTTTTAACAGTGTTGGTTGCATTATTGGATCTGCAAGAGTGATGTGGTTTTTATGATATTTTTAGTGATGTGGATCATAATAATAAAGCATAACATGACTTCATTTATGGGTTTTTCTACTGATAAAATATTCTCAGACATATCCTGCCATGTTACTTAGGACAGGCTTTAAAAATGTTTCTGCATTTCAGATCTGTGGTCTGTATGCAAGCTGTGGTCTCAGTCCCCAGGAGCTGTGCGGGCAGGTGACCTTGTGGTGTTTCCCTTCCAGACAGGCTCATTTTGGGAATCAAGGCACTTGTGACAGACCTTGAGAGGGGTGGGAATGCCAGCAGCTCCCCAACTGTTTCCAGACCATTTGTCCTCAAAATAAGGACCGATCAGGAGGAAAAAATGGATGGGCCTGTTTAGAAATCGTTCTTTTGGCCTACTTTGAAAGTAAATACAACTTGAACAGCCTGGATATGTCCATCACTGGGGTGGTGGGTGGGAGAAGAGCAGCTGACTGACCATCAGCAACCCTGGAGCTGGATGCCACGGGATCCTGTGTAACCCTGAGGAGAAGCAGGACCCTCCCAAGGTGCAGGCAGAGCAGCCCAGGCCAGGTCAGAGGGATGCTTGGACAACTGCCCAGTCCCAATAGCCCCAGGGCCGATGGTGAGGGAAGAGTGAAAGACCTCAGCAAGCATGTATGAGGCTTCTCCAGAGCCCTTTTCCAGGACTCCAACACTTTGAGTCAGGTGCAGTGTCTGTGTGTTTGGCAGCTCCCAGTTACATCCACTAGCTTGTCCATTCCCAGCTTGAACCAGTACAAACCTCTAGCATTTGTGCTTTCCTGCACTGTGTTAAACACTGTAATCAGCAGCTGTGCCAGAAAAGGTTCTTTTTAATTAGTGTTGAGCTCACTGACCGCTTTTGTTACTTTCAAGTGCTTGTGTTGTACAAGGCAGAGAATGATCAATGTCTTTGTTTTCTCATGCCAGACACAATTCCCAGATTTTTGTGAACATAACATATGATCTTCCAGAACATTAAAACATTAACAGCAGTGTCTTTTAAAAAGCAGTAATTTTGTTAGACCCACATGAGAAGAACCTGTGTTTCTCCTTGTCATCCCCCCAAATACAGCTCTAAGGTCAGAGTTAAGCCATTCTGTTTGATCTGAGTCTTTGTACTATACACTTTCTTTACCGTCTTACATTTTATAATCTCTTGCATCTTTCTTGGCATGAAAACCTTTGTGTCCATCCGATAGGGAGGAAGACATTAGTTTAACTGAGTCCCCCTGAAATAATGAAGAGTAAAAGTAGAGCCCTAAGCTATAAAGGAATCTTTATTAAAGCTATGGAAGCATAAACTTCTGCTGAAAGAGTGTAGTCAATGCCGGGAAGCTATATCACTGACTTCAGCAAGCTAAACTAAATACATTTTAAGAGAACATCTGTCTAAATTACTAAATCTGGAAAATGCATACAAGACCTTATAGAAGTCTTTGAGCTTCCCTCAGGGCATGAGTATCCTAAATATTTAATACTTGCTTCTAAGAGGAATCAGAGTATTGTAATCAGGAGCTCAACAGCATCTCTTTTAGGTGCTCCTCAGTAATGGGTCATCTGCAGGCAGCTGTGCCAGGCATCAATACAGATATTTGGGCTGGCCAGAATGAAAGGGGTTCATCCTGGTTCTGCAGTGGCCAAGGCAGTCACTCACTCTTTCTTTCACCCTTATTGAGAGGTGCTCATTCCCTCCTTTGCATCAGCTCTGGAGCTGATTGTACCTCTTGCCGGGGGGTTTCAGTTACCTAATGCAGCAAAACCATGGTTTTGTTGAACCCTCCCGAGCGTACCTTGATGAGTGCCAGTGCTGACACCAAGAGTGTTTTGATGAGTGTTAGCTCTGGCACCGAGAGTGTTTTGATGAGTGTTTGTGCTGACACAAGGCTGGTTCAGTGCTTGCTCCTGAGGGGGCATTGAGACTTCGTGCTTTCAGCAGTGACCAGCTCTGAACTCACTGAGTCAGAGGAAAGCCCACCTCCATGGACAATTGTCCCACAGATGCTTCCATTCAGAAATTTGTTAGCAACCCTCATTTTGTTGCCTCTGTCCCTTACACTTAGATACAAAGTATTTTTTTTTAACATCCAATTTCCATTGGCTCATTGACAGTCCTTATGCCTTTGAGATTCTGCCAGCATCTTCTATAGCCCAATTAGTTGCTCCTGTTTCTTGGTGTGTAAACTGAGGTGCGTTCACATTCCCTCACAACTCAATTTTTTGTTAGACTTCAGGAGACCCTCTGTGTTTCCAGGTAATGGAACTTTGTAAGCAAAGTTGTCCAGTACCTGTCTGCAGTATTTGAAAAGTGGTCTCCTTTGGGCAGTGATATTAATCATACCTCAGTTTGACTGGAAATACATCTTCTTTGATGTATTCTGGGATGACAGTTGTGTTTTCCAGGAAGACATTCTATTGATCTGCCAAATCATTTTGCCAGAAACAAGTGTGGTCATGTCTCTCTTTCTTATAAACCAGGCCCTCCAAAATATGTAATAGAAATTCCCTCCAGCCCTTAAGTGCATAAATTTGCTATTTGTAGAATTGAATTTGATCCTATTTCTAATAACCAGTCCTGAAGATCATCCAGGTCTTTCCTATGGGAGTTTTTCAATCTTTTTTATTTTCCATGTTTTCTGATTTAATGTTATCAGCATATTTCATTGGAATGCTCCTGGGTTTGGTGCCTAGGTAATTAATGCAAATATCAAGCTGGCAGTTTTTGGGGATGATATTGGAGGATCCATACTTCCAACTTTGTCCTGCCTGGGGCTCACTCAGGGCAGTCACCAATGTCTCCGTGAGCAAAAATGTCCATGGTCCTGCTGCCTGTTTGGCCAGGATGAAGGTCTGGAAAGCTGAGCTGCAGCTGCCCAGGGCTGCTCTGCTGCTCCTGCCCTTCCTTCATGTGGTCAGTTCATATCTAAGCTCAGGTGTTTTAATATTTGAAGGAGAAATACTAAATTTTTGCCTCTTTTACTGAGCAGGTTTTTGCTCACTGCCTCCTGCCCCAGTGGCCAACTTGCCTCTTGTCAGGTTTTGTTTACCAGTTCATCATCTCTTCCAGCTTAATTGTCACTGAGGTGGAACAATAGCAAGACTTTATACTGATTAATCTCAGTAAAATTTTGTAGTCTTTGAACCTGCTTATTGAAATTCACAATGTAGATAATGTGGTCTCTTCCAATCTTACCAGTTCTGTGATTCTGTGGTTTGCCTGACTAGAAAATAACTATGAGAAAGATAATTTGACTGGTTTAGCATTTGAATGGCTTAGTAAATACAGCCTGCATTTAATTTATATATGTTTGCCTCAGGTCTGATTGTTTTTTCTCCTTGATGTTTGTTCCAAGTCCTTGTGTACTTGGAGGCTGGGATTGCTATTGCTCAGAGCCTTTTCCTCTGGCATTGCTGAAGCTGCAGGGCTCCCAGGGAGTGTGTGCACCTGCTCTGTGAGCCTGCCTGGGCTGCAGCTCCGGGGCCCACGGCTTTGCCTGCCCCTGCAGGGTGGAGCTGAGCGCACCAGCCCGGTCTTACAAGGTGATGTCATTGTTGTGCCAGTGTGTCCTTTGAAACCTGCCAACACAGCTGCTGTTTTCCCTCAGATTCCAACTGGATTCCAGTTTCCTCAGATTCCATCCTTCTGCTTTTTTGCTTTTTTTGAAGTTCAGCTAACTTCTGTGCTCTTTGCTTTTAGCAGCAAATAGAAGGAGTCTCTTGAATTACAGTCAGTGTCAGTGGTTGGTTTTGAACCTTCCATGAACAAACTCCCCTCAGTTTTCCTTGTCCCACCTTCTGCTGTTAAAAATCAGTATATCACATGCACTGTGTAACTCCATTGGACATGGTTGTTTTAATGATTTTTATGAACATTTTAGGAAAAGTATCCTGCGGGTTTTGCCCTTTTCAAATGTAAATGTTTAGTCAGTGCTTGCTGAGAGGGAGTACAAGAACACATGCACGAGGCTTATGGTTCTTTTTTTTTGTCTTCTTGCAGTGACCTGCTGTCTTCTGAATATCTTGAGAGGCATATCGAGCAAGGTGGGAAGACAGTGGAAGTTAAAGTAAGAATTTCCTTTTTATGTTTCTCTTTCTTAATTTCCTTGGCTTTTGATCATGAAAACTCACATATTTTTGTGAAAAGAGAGATAACTGATTTTTCAAGTGATTTGTTTTACTATTGTGAGGCAAGCATGTTTCATGTTTTCTAACTTTCAGCTTTAAACAAGGCAAATAACTCCATTGTCAAATTTAGCACATCAGTGTTTATATCAAAATGGTACCCATTAAAAATGTATTCATAGTAGTTCTTTTTGCTAGTAAGTAAACTTCACTTTTGATACTTATTGAAGAAAGTATTTTTGTTTTGGTAGATAGCATTTTCTCATTGTACCAAACTCCAAGTTTGTTGGTTTGTTATGAGCTTCTTTGTAAATTTGAGAATAGCAATATTTATTGTATAATATTTCCAAATATCTAGTCACCGGTTGTGTGTTTCTTTGTGTGTTTGTTGGCTTGGTGAATACAAGATGCTAATTGTTGCCGTTCTCTTGTGTGAAATGTCCCACAACCTTTGCAGAAGTGTTTTGTTCTTTGCATGTGACATAAGAGATTTTTCTTGAGGACCCTCTGTTTGTTAGGACTTATTTTATAGATGTCAGCTATAACTTTTGTATCAATTACTGTAGATTATAATAGAGTGTTCAGAAATGTATTATATATGCTACAAAATGGAAATTCTAAATTTGCCTATCAGGTAAATATTAGGTAAAATTTTGTTTAAAGTTTACATTTTATTAAAAGAAATCCCCCCAATTATTTTACTAAATCTGAGATAATCTAAACCTTTATAAACCTTTATCCACTGGATAATCTAAACCTATATAAACCTTTATCCACTGGATATCTGAAGATGCAAGTTTTCTTTGGTTTATTCCCTTCTGTCATTTGCAAATAGGAAGTCTGCTCTCCCACTATTATCAAGATAATAGTCTGCATACATTATCAGACTGAGTCAAGCACATACCTGTTCCATTAAATTGTAAAGACTAATTCCTCAGTCAGCTCTGCTCTGCAGTCAAGAAGTCTTGCTTGACTGAAGTTCAGAATAGGAGTCAAAGCAGAAATAAAGATAATAGCTGATATTAGTAAGAGAAAAACAACCCATTTGTCTACATTTAGATATATGTGCAAGTTATCTAAGTTAATCCATCCAAGCCCTGTCACTGAATTGTTCCTGATGAGCAAGCCTTAATCAAGCAAGGAAATGTTTGAAATCAGCAGCTCTTCATATCTAAGTACTGTTTAATTGAATGGGAAAGTGATGGGAGGATCAGGCCTTTCAGAGGAAGGGTCAGGAAATGCTCTGGGTAAAACAGCTGCGAGCCTCAAGGGTCCCACAGATTATTTCTCCTTGATTTAGATGCTGAGCCAGGGTCAGTGTATACCTTCAGGGATGGCTATCACCGCCTGGCTCAGTACTCTCAAATCTGCCTGAAGTAGAAAACTATCATTGCTGCATTCAGCTTGATACTTGAGGTGAGCTGAATTGGGAGTGAGGGGCTGCAAAGGCTGCAAAGGCTGCAAAGGACAGGGCTTGCTGCTGGAGTGGTGAGTTTCCCTCCCCGTGCTGCCCTGTACCATGGGCAGGGGTGCAGGGGTGGCTGGGCTGGACAGGTGGGCACCTCTGCCCCTCCTAATTCCACTGCTCAGGAGTTCTGCCGGCAGCAGTCCTGTGGAAGCGTGCTAGGAAAGGGAATGCAAGTTTTTTGCTTGTTTTGTTGCGTCTGAGTGTGTGGGATTGGCCGAGAGGGAAGCAGCTGCTGTGACAAAATGTCAGAAGAGCCTGGTGGCCACAGTCATGAGAACATTTTCATAAAAGTTCAGATACCAAAAGATTTTTGGAAAAGTGCAGGCTACCGAGTACGCTTTAATACCAGACACTGGGTGAGGCTGATTTCAGTACTCAATAGCTGTTTAAAAATAAATCTGGTTCCCTCTGACCAGTCAGTATTTTTCAGAGCACCTGTAAGTTCATTTTAGAGCTTTGTTTGTCTGTTGAACAATTTCTGAAAAGACTGGCAGTATCTGTTTTCTTTGGTTTTACATCAAATATTTTGAAAATCTTACTGCAACTATAAGAAATTTCCGTGATGGTGATTTATTACCTTTGATTACTGTGGGAATTGTTTACCATAACTGGTAACATAATTATTATACTGGATTTTAGGGATTGTGCAGATTGCTTAGATACTTATTTAAAAATAGCTACTAAAAGGGTGCAACTTAGGGATAAATCACAAAATATGCACTCAGCTATGCAGCATATTCCAAAGCAGAATCTGAAGAGGTATTTCAGAAAGGAGACAGGTTTCTATCAGTTGCTTCAACATGCTGCTCTTCACCCATCTCTGTGCAGTTTATCTTGGGCTGTAGGCAGAGACAGAGGCGGCCTGGCAACATCTCTCTTGCTGCTTTGGTGGGAGAAATGGTGACAGGAAGAAAATGTCCATCTGCCATCCACTGCCAGCTGCAGGCTTTGAGCAAGCCTGCTCATACAGAGAAATGGCCTCCTCTGTTCCTGGCCTTCTTACCAGAGAGGTGTATCTCAAAATCCATATGCATTCCCCCTTGCATTTCTCTGTGCAGGAAGACTGCCCAGACACACGAATGATCAGTGCTGCTGTTGTGCCACCAGCGGTACGGGAGAAGAAGGAGCTTTGAGGCACGGTGTGAAGGCAGCTGTACGTACATGCAGCAGTTTGGGAATGTGTCTGGAAAGCGGATCCTGCCTTGGCTCATATGCAGTGTGGAGTTGATAACTACTTTTGCCACTCCTCCCCCTCTCCTTCCCTCCCAGTAAAACTTCCTGTGCTGTAAAATACATATGGATCTTCTGCCATTACTGAGAATGCTTCAAAGAGGAGAGGGGGGCAGGGGAAGGGAGAAATGTTTATACATGAAAAATGCCACTTCTTAGTAGCCAAGGGATTTTTGCTGTGAGAGGAGTCCTCAGTTTAACATACCTTTTTGTCATAAGAAGACATTACATTACATTTGATTTCTGCATAATTATTAATATATTAGACCATTGTGAAGGTGAAAGATATTACAAATGTTTTTGTAAGGTACCAGCATTTAGCTGCTGCAGAGGAGAGGCTTCTTGTTAATTTGGCACCTCAGTTAGGCAGCACCTAAGACATTCTTATTAAACCAGCAGCAGTGTACAATGCCTAAGAAAAACAAAAGGAGCTAGATGTTCAAATTATTTCAGTGTTTTCCCCCACACTCTCCTTTACTGTACATCACATCTCTACTAGGAAAGCAGGAATGTTGGCCTAAATTCCCTCTGGTAGCAAAGAGAATAATCAATTAATAAAAAAGAGAAAAACCCTTCTTGGCATTGCCTTTTCCTGATTGTGTCATTCCAGACCATCCTATGCTCATAGCACGTCAATACTCAACCTGTGTATACCTAATGTTGTTGCAATATATCTGTGTGTCCTTTCATCTCTCTTTCTCCCTCTTTTTTGGTTGTCATTCTGTCACTGATGTTGCCAGTGAGATGAAAGGCAAAAAACAGCTATAGTGCTGAGTAATTCACATTGCTGGTTTTTTTTACCCTCAGAAGAAACAACTGATATCTATTCAGTGATATTTTCTCAATAAAATGTTTCAGTTTTCCTCTTCAGAGTGTGTAGAAATGTATGTTTCTGCTTGTATTCCCCCAAAACAATGGACACTTCTGCAAGTTCTTAGGAAATTACTTTCTGAAAAAGATTAAGCTGTGAAAATAATTCACTCAGAAAACTTGCACAGGTAGAGATGTTAATAAAGAGAGATGATAAATACCAGAAAATTTTGATGGCATGTTTAAATATGGCTATAGAAGGAACTATATTTCATAGGCAGTCCTTAAAGTCTGAAATTCTCGTGTGTGGTGGTGTAAACACAGCATGTGTATTATGGGCACAAAATTACAGCGAGAGTACTTACAGCATAAACTGCTGCTTTTTGCTTCAGCCTCTCAGCATGTTCCTATGATAGCACTGAACAGCATGAATGGAGACATATCAGATTCTAGGTACTGTTTTTTCTCTGTTGTAGCATTAACAGAGGAGCTTTGGCCAGGCTTGTCCTGTGGGTTAGGACTGCTGTGTGTCCCACGCTGTGCTGAGCCCTTCTGCTGGGCCCTGCAGTGCTCAGCCCGTGCCCACTGGGCTTTCTTCAGAGCACCCACAGCTGTCCTGTCCAGCTGGGGGGACCCAGCCCAGCCTTCTGCTCTGTGGGGTCCCAGCAGAGGGGCCACCATTGTAGTTTGGTCAATGAGGGGTTTGGGGCAAGTGCATTTTGATGCTGCATAACAAAGCAGAGCTGTTAGCCTGCAGAAATAGTCATTATGTTGTGTGCGTTGTTTGACTAGTAGAGTCTGCAAGATGACTGTTATTGTAGCTTACAGCTATTTTAATGCTTCTGCACAAGGGGGAAAATTACTGTTCTTCATTGCCTTGCTGTGCTTAAAGCCTTGGCTAGTGTGTGCCATGATGTGTATTTGAAGGGCTCTTTAAATGTCCTTTTTAAGGAAAAATTATGCATAAAGGAGAAAAACATTAAAATCTTGAAGGACCAGAGGAGTCTGGGTACCCTTGATAGGGTCGATATTGCTTTTTTCTGTTAGACTTTCTCCTTCAAATCTGGTCTCCTTGAGCAGTCCCTTGACTGAGGGAAGTGTGTGTCAGTGCACACCTGTGCCTGTGTTTGATGAGACCTTATCCAAGTAGTATTCCAACATTTCTTTGTTATCTCCACAGGTATAAACTGATCATAAGTCTACAATAATTTGTGGTGCAGCCAGATTAAACACTTAACCAGTGAGCAGGTCATTTTAGTAATTGACTGCTATGTTTCCGGTCTTATGGCAAGACTGGAAGCCATCATCTTCCAGTTAGGGCACTCCGAAAAGTGATTTCTTATTATTCTTCAGGTTTTGGTAACTCACCTCTTTGTAACCAAAGAGGAAGTTGTTTCAGTTGCCAGGGAAGCCTTTATGCTAAACAGGCTTTCC